ACTTTTTGCTGCTTTTTGCACAGAAATAAAAGTCAAAATTGATAGCGTGACAAGGCACAAATTAAGTCTGTGCTGCAAACCCTACTTCTTCTTCTTCTTACTATTTTGAATTTCAACTTTTTCGTATCTCAAAAATATTTATTGAACAGGCAATAAAATTATCATTGAGAAAATTTTGTGCAGCAAGCAGCAGCAGCAATTGGAATGAATTGCGAACCACATGAAATAATTTGTACTTCACCGCTGTTTCTGCTATTGCTGCCGCATTTTATTGACAAGGAATTTGTTAAAGGAAATTTATATCGTGACTTTCCAGACTTCGCTGAATGAGTGAGAATTTGTCTCTGACTTTATAGATCCATAAATTTCATAAAATTAAAAATTACAAAGCAAATTTTTATTGCTGCAATTTTTTTTTATAAATTCTTTTCCTGCTTTTGTTACTATTTACTTTATTGCCATGTAGTTTACGGACATAGACCACTCAAATCAAGTTAAGCCTTAATAACAACAAAGTTAATGAAGAACAATTTTTTATTTGATTGTTTCCATTTTTTGTGACTTAAATTGGAATTAAAATCTAAAGACTGAAATGATTTCGTGAGGCAATTATAGCCAGTAATGCTATCAAAATCCATAGAATTCTTGTTTTACTTCCAAATAATCATAAATTACCCTTGAAATTCTTGTTCATGATCATCAGCAGTGTCTTTTAAATATGGCATAGGCATGAGAAGAATTTAGTACGACGTGGACGAGATGTGAGATGTGCAAGCATGAATATTAATCAAATCAGCTGTCGCCAGTTTTGGACTGATGACCCTGACAGCAAGCTAAAGTCATAAACTTCGCGAACAAGTAAACAAGCGAGTAAGCGAGTGAGTGAATGAGAGACTTACTTTACACCCAGCAAGCGTCAACATTTTTTTTTTCGTTGCTGGAAGCGAGTCTGCCCACGTTTTAATCTCTTTTCTTGACGCGCACAAGCTACGACAGACGAGATTTCAATTTCATTTCATTTTCCGTGTAACAATAAAAAAAAATTATTTGCAAATACCATTACTGCTGCCATGAGCCTTGCACACTATGTAGCAATAAAATATGTTTGTCCCTATAAGATTATTATCTAATACCTGTACTACATTTCAGACCTTTCAAAATAAAGAAAGCATTCAAAAACATTTGTTGACAGCAAGCAGTCTTGCTGATAGCAACAATACCGTTGCTGCAAGTAAGAAAATCACATTCAGGTGCTGTTTAAAGCGCATTTTCATGCCAAAGTATTTTTTGAATTTTCGAATTTTTGAAATAAAGATCTAAAAAATAGTGAATCTAGTATTAAATAATATCGAATAATCTATAGACAATTTGAATTAATTGTATACATGTCTACCGAAGTAAATTGTGGTCTCTAAGAAGAAGTAAGCAGAAAATGCATTGCAAAATCAAGAAAAAAAAGCGAAAGAAATTTGTCTCAAAACCAAACATTTTCCATTATTTATTTATTACTTAAGCATGTGAATGCCGTTCTTTTTTATGACATGTCATGTCTTAAATTATTGCCTAGTGATAAATAATAATTTGAATGGCAATAGTGTAAGGAGTTTACATTGCAATTTGTTTAATGGAACAAATGTTGACGTAAAAGAAGCAAAAAAAATCATAACGAATAATTATGTAAAATATAATGACAAGCTGCAGCATAGACAGACTTATTATGACAATCATTATGATTATGTGATGTTTTTAAAATGTTCTGACATGCACAAGAATGGATGAAAATTCTCATTAGAAGATGAAAGGAAAATGGAAAAATCTTTACAGCACTCATTCATCATGTAATAGCACAGACTTGACTTTCCATTCATATTCGGTCAAGAACAATGCATGAGTTTCAAGAATGAACAAGAATGAAGAGGAAAAGAACAAAAGAAATAATGAAGGAGATCCGTGAGAGACATAGACGAGAAGTGCAATGGAAAAAAGTGCATAAAGCAACAAAAGAAATTGGCAACAGCACCAAGTGTTAAGAATCAATAGAGAAAGAGATAGACGAGTGATTTAATGAATAGCAAGGAATTGATGTAAAGTCATGGCATATAGCTTAAGATGTATGGAACAAAGGTGTGAGATTTATCTAGCAATTAGTGAACAATGAATGCGCAAAAAAAACGAAGAAGCAGACACGAAAATAAATCAAGTGAATGAGCGAGCTACAATGACTTAAATCTGTTAAGAAACCGCAAAAGGAATCAGTCTGTCATATAGTCTTGGGTTTGGTGTTAGTTTTTATAAACATTTCATAATTTTTCATTGAATTTAAATAAAAAAAAAGTTTTAGTTGCGAAAAATCAACTCTTTTTAATTCCAACGACAACAATGGAGACCAGCTGAGTTGACTCAATCTTAACAACATGCGCTACTCAACGAACGGACGGTAGAATAAGAAGAAGTTTGAGCTGTGAAGAATTTTTCTTGACATTTTAATTACGCAATTTTGATTATAATTATTGCTTTGTACTTGAATATATTTCATATTTTCTTGTTCTACAAATCAGTACACGGTCAGTTACAACAACAAAAATCACGGAACAGTTGTTGCTGAGCTCATTTACACATGTCTCTTGTATGTCGTTTTCATTGTAATTTAATTTTGTTGATTAAAATGTTAATTAAAAGGATTTACGCACATCTGACTTCAACGAATGTCCAACTGTCTATCACGGCAATGTAAGCGCACACAATTCAATTCTGTGGACGATGAGAAAAAAACAGAAAACAACACAAAAATCATTCGTATATCACCAAAAACAGCATCAAACATAAGAGAAAACTAAAGAAGAATTGACATTGAAAATCTCGTGCTGATTTTTATTTAATTTTCTTCTTTGTGTGGACAGTCGAGTGTAGATGAAGATTTGATGGAACTAAATGCTTTACTAACAGAATGCAGAATCAAAGAGAATTCGAAAATTTTCTGTCGGATTTTCACATTTCGAGGAGAACTTTTTGTTCCTTTAAATCTGAGATTATGATGGCAATATCATTCGTCAACTGGCAACAGCTTTTGTGTTATGATGTGATGCACGTGTTGTACATTTGCTCTTCATTTCTCTTTCATCGTCACAATTGAAGTACAAATAAGTGGAGAAGACTGAAAATCAACATCATTCATGCTTACAAGTTCTAAGAAATAAAATAAATTCAGATGGAAAATGAAACGGAGCAAGTGAAAAAGATGGAAAAATGCCAAACTGAAATTGCCATCGTCAGCTGTACTTTTTTTTAAAAGATGAAAAACTTTTTTGGCTTCAAATTTCTCATCTCCATTGACCTTCATTCTAATTGACATTCTTTTTTCATTCACTTTTTCGTGTCTCTTTTGTGGTTTCATTTTTGCTCGTCCTCGCCATGCTTGACAAATTTTGCTTGATTAAACTTGATATGGCAATAAGAATTAATTATGATTAAATATTAAGAAGAAGAATTCTTTGTGCTCAAGTAAAATCTGTGTAATTTTTAGATAATTATGTCAACAGAGGTTTATGACAGGCTGTGTTGGGATGTGCTAAAAGACATTTCAGGTGAAACAATTAAAACAGAATCTTGTGTGGGTACTTGCTGTATTTTTAGCTTGGTTTATATTTATTTTTGATATTCTAAGGCTGAATACTACAGAACTTCTGCTTTAAAGCATCAGTATAGCCCAATAAACAGCAAGTGATGCTACTTACTCAAACAAATTTTTCAAGAATTGAGCAAAATATCACCACGTGTTTTATAAAGTCGCAACTCATTCCTCATCAGCTAGTAACAACTTATTCAGCATCACAAATTCTTGAATGAATGCACAAAAGTAGGTGTCAAGATTCATTTGTAATACAAAAATTCATGGACATTGTACCCTTTTTAAATGAAAGTCACAAGGACCTTATCATAGTCATTCAAGTTCATTCACAAAATAATATTCATGTGGATCACAATGTGACATCCTTTTATATTCGTAAAATTAAGTAGCATGATAAAAAAGATTAAAAAGTGATGACTATTGAGATTTTTTATTCATTGTTGCTACAAAACAACAGAAGTAGCAGTGACAGTAACTAAGTTGAATATGAAGAAGAATTAAAATGAAAAGATGTAAGAAGAAGTGCTGCATGTGCAAAAACCCACAAAAATGAATGAATCAATTTTTATTTTCTGCTAAAATGTGCAAAAACTTCCAAGCATTGCCTTGTCACACAATCTCGGTAGTTTTAGTAAGGAATGAAAAATGAATGGGATGGAAGAAAGTGGCAACAAACAAGGCTGTTGTTGGCGACAATAGCATTGAAGTAAAGGAGCAGTCGATGTAATAAAAAAGGGGAAAAAATTAAGATTCAGCTGATGATGTCGAAAAAAACAAGATGAAAGGAACTGCAAGAAGTTCAGAATGGATTCTCGAATATTTTACGCGATTTAATTTTATTACTTTGTAAAGAGATGAGAATAAATTTTAAGAAGCGAAGATTTCAGTCGCGACAGAATTTACTTCCAATCACTTTTAAGTTCTGAATCTGAAGCAGCTCAACTCATTCATTGGATTAAACCATAAAATAATTTCTTGTACTCTCGATTATTGATAATGAATATTCTCTCAGTTAGCAATAACTGTGCTGCACAAAAAATTGAAGTAAATGCGAATAACTTGAGGATATTTTTATCCAACGATTGATAATAGTAACATAACCATGACTGAGTTCTGACTTAAAAAGGATGTAGAAGTCTCCATGTGGATGTAAATGAAAAATGAGAAGAGGAACTGACATAAAGGACAAGACAAAATCATATAAAATATGAGATACAATTTGGGGTTTAAAAATGGAAGGTTTCATGCCTCAAACCCCTGCGGATATTTTTTCTCAAATTCCAAATACCATTCTTAAGCTTGTCGAGTCAACGACTGAAACTTTCTCATTTAAAAGTAAAATCTTTCCTTCTTTTTTATCATTCACAGACATTTATGCCAGGCTATAAAAATCATCATCGTCAATGATAGCCGAAAAGTGTTGCTTATCATGTCGCTTCTTGCACATTAATAGGTCATTGATATGAATGTGCTTATTGTCACTTACTGGCATACATTCACATTCACTTGTCGTAGCTTTATTATTATTTTGAAGGCAAACAAACAAGTTCTTTGCTCGATTTTGGCGACATTTCTTCTCGTCGAGCATGTACTTCTGCTTACATTTACATTATTATTGATCAAAAAAGAGAAGGAGCTATGAAAAAAATGAGAGTCAGCAGTAGCATAAGAAGTAAATACATGAATGAATGATGAGAGTTGATGTCATTCAGCCAAAGCATTAAATTGTGATTCGTACATGATAAATAAGAAAAGTTGTAAGTGAGACATTTCCAATGACTTTATAATAGGAGGTAGGAGCAGCAACATCATCTGAGATTATATAATTTTATTGAGAAATTAACATTTCATTGTCTATTTTAAGATGACATACTGCACTATAAGTTCCATCACATACAATCAAGTCTAGTTCAAATTATGTCATGTTCTGGTAAGTTGTGTGGCTCAAAATAATGTTAATTGAGAGATTCAGTGACTACATGTGAGCATTTATGATGATGTGATAAGTACATAATTTTTTTTATAGCCAATTGAACTCACCTGTAAAATCTTGTGGTATCTTAATGCCTTTCTTCCTGTTCGTGCCACTTTTTGCATTGATCGCATGATAAACTTTATACTTCTTCAAGTGCCGATACAACAAAAATAATTCTCCGTTATTATTGTTATCCGCTATGACTGTTGTTGCATTAGCTTTTATGTCATCGTTTTGCTGTTGATAGTTTGCACCATTTCCACTCTCATGGCTGTTGGTAGTCATTTGTTGTTGATTGGAATTAATTGGATAACTACTATTGCCATGATTTACTGACTTTTTGCTCTTTACTGCCATTGAATTTGATGACTGATTCAGTTTTTCATCATAAATACCTTTCGTCTGTGGCACAATTAATCGAGCCACTCTCGGCAACGAATAACGATTGAGAAACATTTCAGCTGACATTGGATCATTGTTGATGATTTTTGACTTGAAAAAAAAAGAGTTCGAAACAGAAGGGAAAAAATTAATTGAATGCGATAATAATCAGTTCAGGCTGCTACCGACTGCAATTTCGTTTTTATTAAGTGTGTACATGGAATATAATAAAAGAATGACTCTCTTGCTGAGACGCGGCCTTTAATTTGATGCAGGAAAAAAGCATGTTTTCACACACTAAAATATCGACACACAGAATACACTTTAAATGATGCCGCAAAGTTTTTTCGATTAATTTAAAAAGTGAAACAGCAGTAAAAGAGGAAAAAAAATATTAAACACTAAAGCGCAAAGGGGAGAGGCACAAGAGAGCGGATATAGAAAGATGAATAAAAGCTTGAAGGTTTCAAACTAATTGGATCATAAAAACCAATCTCTTACTTAATCCATTGTGGATAATAGGAATGAATCTTCATTTTGCATAACCGCAATAAAAATTTATTTTTTATGATGCCGAAGTGCATAGTCTCGAATGACCCATCTCATGGGATGAAAAAGAAAGAGGAAGATAAAGTATACACACTTATTTACAGCATACAATTACTGATCTCGAATCCATGCAGTTAATACTTGTGGGAAGTTTGGTTTAAATTTTATAGGGAGATTATGAAGATAAGGAAACCTGTTGAAAGTAAAGTCCAACGTTAAGCTAATAATTGACTCTGATTTCATGTTATTAAGTCGAAAAGCTTCTTTTTCTTGGCTTCCCGTAGGACAAGAGGTGGCTTCCCATAAGATAAGAGTTGCAATAGCACATCATCTGTAGCTAGCAGCTTACAGGTGGTTCCAAACTAAACTTTATAACTTGATTATTAGCAAATGCCTCAGGTAGCCCAAAAAACTAGCTCATAGTTTGAAAAAATGTCTGGTTACTTTATTGAGACTTGATCCTTAGATATCTTTAATTTGGTAACAATATCTACTTCCTCAGTCTAAACTACAGCACAACCAATCAATTTCATCTCTCAATACACAAAGGTTCATCATAAATAGTCCAAATCCTCATTAAAAATTCAGAACATCAAAGTCTGCCTTTATCTATCACCAACGTCTCGACTTTAACATCCAAGATCTCAATTTTCTAAATTTAACGGCAGCTAATTAAGCTTTATTCCAAATGATATTGCTTAATTATCGCAAAAATTTTTTTGTGAGAACACCTCTCGATACTTAAAAATCCAGATTTTCTGGTTCAAACAAGTCTTTTTTATCACATTTCTCATGTTATCTTTATGTCTGTGTAATAAAACTCTTATCACAAAGTTTTATAACAACTTGATATCTAGAAATTTATACCTTAAAAATAAATTAAAACCAAGCAAACCTCATAAAATCGTCTTAATCTTCACGTGTATGCCAGAAAGTCTACCTTAACAATTAAAAAAAAAATTATCTTACGTCCAAAGTTCATCTCTAGATTCACACGAGTAATAAATGTAATGAGATAACATTGAGATGCTCAACTTTCATTCAAGTTTACATTAAGCATTATTATTAATTTTTTCTTTCTTTAAAATAAAAGCATCAATTATTGGAAATGATATAAAGAAGAACGAACACATGGAGTTGATAAGGAAAACATTTGTTGTCATGTATCTGCCCGAATGTCTCACAATTCTTTATTTTAACTTCCTTATCTATTGTGTTTATGTGATTTATACAATTAAAATGCATTGGCAAGCATGAAACGTGTTTGATGTAGTTTTTATCTATAAAAACATTCAATAATCAACTGTAGGTACTCAATAAATGCCAAGAAGAAGACAAAAAGTCACAATTTTTATTTCAACTCGTCGATAAGTGCGAGATTACCAGGCAGACTTATCGGATCGTTCGATTATTATAATGAAGTAGTTGTTGCTGGCATTTTTTTTTTTGTTCAATACTCTCATTATTTATTCAGATGTTTACACATGCAATGCCTGCCCCAATTCACAGCTCTAACAGTAATCAATATGTGTGTATGAATTACTTTCGATTATTGTCTGAGATCATTATTTATCTAGATATATATGCATGAACATATCTATAGCTGTATATATTATATATGAGTAAACAAGTCAGTGAGTGTATGACATTTAAATTGCAGATTTAGTCGGTCAGATGGAAACATTTTGTTATGTTCGAGTAATTATAGCGCATTTTATGCTGAGTAATAATTGAAATGGAAAATTTATAGATAAGAAGTCACTCTTAACCTCAAAATTTTATCAATTCTGTAATTTTCCACCTTGACTTTCAAATTAATGCATACCTTAGGTCAATAAACTTTTAATATCACTTAAAATTCTTAATATCATATAGCTTAAAAATTTATTAAGTTATCAAAAGTGCTTGTCTTATCGGAACCGGCATATTATTATGGACTGATGATAAGCCCATCATTAATTTAACAAATTAATTTTTATCTTAGAAATTGGGGACAGTGCTCTTAAAAGTCAAGTTTTGAAGATAAAGTTCTGGTTTTTGCACGTAGGAAAATTTTTGAAGTGGCACAGAAGTTCTCATCGAATGACGACGTAGTGAAAGTAAGCAGATTGTTTAATTTAATTTTGAACGAAGGAACTTTGCTAGTGTAAATTTATATATTGAGGAGTTGCTCAAATCGGTTAATTGATCAGTAATCTGGCACCAAGCTGGGATGACTCTGGCATGTTGCTGGATTTAAATCGAAGCCAGCACTTTGCCAGAGTTATACCGGCTTATCTGTTCAATGAACCGATTCGGTGAAGTAGAACAGCGTGTTCTAGCGAGGATAATTATAGAAAATATTAATAACTGGAGACAGTAAGATAGATTTAGTCGTTCCTTAGCTGGGGCGCACGTGGGCCCATTGATGCGTTCAGATATCGTCAAGAGACAGCTCTATCCTTCGAAACCAGCTGCCAGTTCAGGATATTAAAGACTCTTGCGTCCTTATCAACACATCCAATTTAAGTATTCTTTGGTCTTCCTTTAGTGATTTATAAGTAGCCTCAAAATATCAGTTCTTGATCTAATACATTAGCAGCTGATCCCTACAAAATAAAATTGACCCATCACATTATGTAGTATTCTAATACATCACATAAAACTCTCAAAAAGCCGCCAAAATAAGTAATTTAAAATTCCACAAAATTTTAATCAAATAAAGAACAAAACTGACAGTCAAACAAACCTTACCTAGTGTCTACATTCATTGTCTCTCAAAAATTTGCACTTAAAATTGTATAAATTGTTAATATAGTTTTTTAGATAAATATAAATCTCATAAACGTGTTTTATTGTGCAATTTTTCTTCATACTTATTTCGTCTCTCTCTTTCTCATTCCGTACACTGTTGCCAATTGACTCTGTTCAGATACATTCATATATTTATTTTATAATAATAAGTAAAAATTGCCTGAACAAAAAAAGAATCAAAAATGAAATGATATATGTTGAAAAAAAGAGAAATAAAATTGATGTTTGGAAGTCAAACAATAAACATTTGCGCACATCAAGTTAATCAATCAACAAGTTGCAATAAACATGAGCAGCATTGCGCAGCAGCATTAAACGACTGCTAATTATATAGACGAAATAGAAAATTAGATGAAAAAGTCTTGTTTGCCGGATAAATAAAAAAACTAATAGAATTTAATGGAGAGACTTAATAATGTGGATATAATAAGCATGAAGATGGTCGTAAGATGCTAATCAAGTAATAAAATTATGTAAATGACATAAGCAAATATTTGAAAAATGTAAATTAAATTTTCTAGAAGAAAGGAAAGAGACGAAGAAGAAAGCATTCGGATGCAGGTAGTGAGCATTGACATTCGATTGTGAAACATAGAAATTGTTGAAATATTAGTATGAAAAACATTCAGAATTTTAGTGAATATATCCCCAAAGTAGTGAATTTTTTATGAAAAAAAAAATTTGAAAATATTTGAAAGTGTCAGTAAAACATTCATTTGTATTGTCAAATATTCAAGCAATAAGGATTGACTGTGTGGTATTTAGTGTGTCGGAAACTGTGTAGATTTACTGCAAGACAATGATTTATCTCGAAAACTTGAATATTTATATGCAATACGTCTAGAATACCATCAAAAAAATTTATTGCACAGCATCAACATTGAAAGCATTAAGAACTGACTTTAAAACATTGAGAACTGACTTTAGAACATTGGAATTTGACATCAAAACATTGGAATTTGACATCAAAACATTGAAATTTGACATGAAAACATTAAAAGGTAATGCAATATTAAAGAAAACATTAAAACAGAAACAAAACAACACTTCAACATTTGTGCAAATTATGCCAACATCCACAGTTTCGTTTTGCTCGTTGAACTGAATAGTCGATTATAGAAATACACTCACGATAACAACAGAAAATACACAATTCATATTCATTTTTTCTTTTCTTTTCTTTTGTTGTATTTTTAATCAACAAGAAAAACCGGGAACAAGAAAAATAAGAGAATTTTTTTCGTATGCACAAGAAAGAACTTTCTTTACAGCACAAATATTTGTATTTTGGATGATTTTTTTAGTCTGTTTAAAAGTAATTTGTGGAATTTTATTATGAACGATTTTTGTAGTGAAATTTGTGAGACTTTTGAAGAATTTTTGTAAATATTAAAGACTAGATTGTGAAAATTTTAGAATATTTTTAAAAAATTGTGAAAATTGTTGCAAAAATTGTGGACGAAACTTTTGTGAAAAATTTGCAAAAATGTGAAATTAAAGAATTTTTTTAAAATTTTTGCAAAAAAAACAAAGTTGAAAAAATTGTCATCAAAACTATAAATTTGTGATGAATAATTGATAAATTTTTAAAAAATTCAGAAAATTTAAAATTGTTGAAAAAATCGAAATTTTCAATAAAGTGAAAAAAAGTTCACGAGACCCCCAAAAAAAATATTTAAATCTCGCAAAATCCAAGGCGATAAAAAAAATCATAAAAAAAAGATTTCATCAGTGAAAACACAAGTGTTAAAATAATAACAAGATTAATTAAGATATACAATAAAAAAAATTGTGATTAAGAAGAACAAGTGCGAGAAACAATTACAGTAATTAACTTTTTTTTGTGAAATAAAGCAAAAAATCCACGAATTTAAATAAAAGAAAAAGAGAAAAAAAATGTGAATTTCGGTGAATTTTCTTAACAAGTCATAAGCACATAATTAGACGCACGAGATACACAAAAAAGTTGTTATTTTGGCGTGTGACTTAAAAAATATTCGAAAATGAACCAAAATTGAAAGTTTTTTTTCGAGTGTCGATTAAAAATAATAATCTTCAACAAAACCGATGAGAATCAGCTGGATGAATCCACAGTGAATTAATAATTAAGCTGAATAATTAAAGAAAAATTTTCGTTGTCATCCTGCAAACTTTAACATTCAATAAAACTTTAATCAATTTTATTAATTTCTAATGCACAAATCAACAGCTGTTCTTCGTGAATATCAACTTAATCATTAAACTTTTAGTTCTAAGCCACATTTATCAAGCTAACAATTTGGCATTAAATCGACACAATAATCAACAAAAGAATCCAATTTTAATCAACTCGATTTCTAAATTCAGTGCTCAAAAAAAAGATTTGTAATTGCAAGAAGAAAACTAGTACAATTTTAATAATAAATTGATTGTCGTTAACCTGCTACATGCGTGTACATTCTCATTTCATATTTAGACTGTGCAAAAAAAAAAAGTTTCACATGATAATAGATTAGTGTCGAGTGATAAAGAACCCCGAAAAAAAAAATTGTTTCATTAAAGTTTCTTCTTATTATTTTCATACAGTGTAGCTGTGTATGTGTATTACGCACAAAAAATATATATAATAATAATAATCTATAGAAACAGCAGCAGCAGTGAAATAAATAAGAAGTAAGAAGGAACAAGAAACACATCATTAAACAATTAAAAGAATATTTTTAACTGCAAAGCATCACGAAGGTTCGTATGACGATCATTATTATTATTTTTATAATATATGTGTGTATACTTATGTGCAATAAATATTTATGATTATTACGGCCGCGGTATATGATAACTTTATTCATTTGGCTCTTTTTTAAAGCCATTGAGCTGAGTCAACTTCGATTTTAATGGAATGATCCGTGTTGTTAATCTAGATCGTCTTGGATATCTTCAAATACATATTATGGCTTTTATCGACATTTTCGGTTTTGAACTTATTAAGGGTTTAATATTGTTCAATTAAGGCCTGCAAAAGCTACTGTTAAAATGTTGTCTAAATGATGTAAAAACGAACATTCTGTTAAGAACCAAGTAGAGGTTTCTTAGACAACTTTTAAAAGTTTTGAGGTTTGTCTACAAAACACCAATGTTTGATTCTTAGCAAAATGTTCGCCTGGGTGCCTTGTGGCCAGCATTTGACTCGTGCAAATTGGAGTTTAGGCTTATTTGAATTTTATTTACACAAACTAGACAAATTATGATAATCTGAGTAGCTTGATGCCTCACTTAATACAGAGTTACTACAATCTAGACCAGTGTTGTCAGAACTTTTTTCAGCCAAGGCTCACTTTGCCTTTAGATATTTTTTCACGGCAAACCTATAAATTTTTCTTCAAAAATCCAAATTTTTTTTTGGATCTACACTTCAGTCAATTTCATCTAGTGTAAAATCTACAAGTCATAGTGCTGGACCCGATCCAGTCTCAATTTTTGTATCTCGATAAAATTTCTTGATCAAGATTGAGATCAAAACATCTCAAATATAGCCCCAAAACTGCTCTTTTTAACTCATATGAACTCAAATGCATCCACATCAAAGACAATTCATAATTTGACTTCTATGAACCGAAACATTTCAACTTCCAACACTGTGTAGTGGACATAAAGAGCAATAAGAAATGAAAAGCATTCTCCTTCAATTAAAATTCACCGGAAGTGTTGCTTTTAGATTCTTTTTTATTATTTTGTGTTACCAATTGCCATTAAAATATACGATGCATGCCACACTCTCCTATATATAATTTTTTTTACTGCCATATGGTTATTTTTAGTACCAATATCAGATCCATATGAGAATCATCCTTTGTAAATTTTTTTTTGTGTTGCTGCTGCGTATATGAATGTGAATAATATTCACCTGGTTAGTAACACACGCATTATATTCTACTTCTTCTTCCTCTCTCTTACTTTTTTTTTTTTTTTTTAAATTAAACTTTTTATTTGTTTACATTTAAATTTAAGTATGTACAAAGTTTCTATACATTTTGTTGCTTTTTGTTTTAAGGTTTCAGGCATTCAATTTGCCTTTTGTCTCTTAATTTTGATTTCATTTACGGATTTTACTTTCTTTTGTATTTCATTTGATTTATTCGGTGTTTTGAGATGCAAGACGACTGTTGAAGTTCGCTTGCAACTTTCCGACGTAGTCTTCGATGGACGGTATTTTCGCTTCTGTATGAAGATCGGTGATCCTTTCATATCTTGTTTTATTGAGAACAATTCTCAAGAATTTGTTTTGCAGTACTTGAAGTTTTTGAAGATGGGTTTTTGCCATGCTTCCAAACGCTGGACAACCATATGTGAATATTGGTCTGATGGCTAGCTTGTAGATGAGAAGTTTGTTTCGTACGTCGAGTTGTGAGTTCCTGCTGATGAGCGGATAAAGCTGTCTTAATGCGGTGTGAGCCCTATTGGTCACATACTCCACATGCGGCTTTAATGTCACTCTCTTGTCGATCACCATTCCCAGATATTTAGCTTCTGTTTCCCATTTGATGTTTTCGTTGAGAAATTTGATGTTATTTCCTGGTAGTTGCCTGGAGTGCCTGTTTGTGATGAATAAGGCTTGAGTCTTCTGTTTGTTGAGGTTGATCTTCCATTTGTTCATGTATTGTTGAACTTTTCTTCCTGTGTGCTGTAGATGTGTCACAATATCGGCCGAGTTCTCTGCAGAATGATACAGTGCTGTATCATCTGCGAAAAGACCGATGTTGTTGGTTGTCTCTCTTACAACATCATACGTGAAGATGTTGTAGAGAGTTGGTGAAAGCACTGCTCCTTGTGGCACTCCGAATTTGATTACCTTGATTTCTGAGAACTGACCTTTAATAAAAACTGCGAAAGATCTTTCACTGAGGAAAGATCTTACAGTTTTTATAAGTGGCAGTGGAAATCTCAGTTTGAGCATTTTGTACAAGAGTCCGTTATGCCAGACTCTGTCAAATGCTTTTTCTACATCCAGGAAGATCATGCCTGTTGACTTTTTGTTGTTTAAGTTTTCTTTTGCTGATTTGATCACTTTGATGAGCTGGTGAGATGTTGATCTTCCAGTCCGGAAGCCGCACTGCTGGTTTGGGATGATGTTGTTATCCTCAAGATGATCGTTGATTCTATTCAGTAATACTCTCTCCAGTATTTTGCTAATTGAGCTGAGTAGACTTATTGGCCTGTAGCTGCTTAGCTCATTTGCTGGTTTTCCAGGTTTTGGAATAGGAATCACTTTTGCATGTTTCCAAACTTTGGGGAAGTGGTTGAGTTTCAGACACGAATTGATGATGAATTTCAAGTATTCGAAACCTTTTTCAGGAAGATTTTTGATGAGTATGTTGTTGACTTCATCTAGTCCCGGAGCTTTTGGATTTTTCAGATTTCTTATGATGCTCACGATTTCGTTTACATCTGTTAGTTCTGGATTCTCATCATTGTCTTGTTCCAATGCTTCTTTGACTGTGTTGTTTACTTCCTGTGTATGTTGTGGATCGTTTTGTTCCAGAGGATTTTCGTGAGCTTCACGAAAATACTCGCTGAGTGCGCTGGCTTTTTCTTTGTTGGTGATGAACGTTTTACCCAGATTTGTCAATGGAGGCATTGTTTTTGAACCTTTTTTGCAAAATTTTGCTATTCTCCAAACTGTTTGGTTTGACGGTTGAATCTCTGAGAGACGCTTATTCCAGTTTTTGTTTTTGAGTTCTTTAATTTTCTCATTGATGACTCTCTGCAGATAATTCAATTCAGATTTGAGTTGATTATCTCTGCTTCTCTGCCATCTTCGACGAAGACTCCTTTTTGTGTTGATTAGATCTTTAATCTCCGGTGTGAGTTTAGTTGATTCGAACTTGATCTTTTTCATTTTTACACTTGAGTTCCTCGCTTCCATGATGAGTTCAGAGAGAATCTTAATGTGATTCTCGATCTCATCTGTTGTATTGCAAGAATTTTCTCCAATGTTGTCTTCAATGCGGCGTGAAATTTGTGCTTTGAACTTTTTCCAGTTTGCGTTTTTGTAGTCATATCTGTAGACTGTATTTTCAGTTCTGTCGATTTTTGATGTTTTGATTTGGAAATACACAGCGCAGTGATCACTCATTGCCTCTGTGCATTGAAGTTCTGTTGTTTCGAGGTTGGAATTCGAGAGCATCAGGTCAATTGTTGACACTGATTTGTTTCGATCTTCTGGGTAGTACGTTGGCGAGTCAGGAAAGTAGATCATGAACTCTCCTGACATTTCCTGAAGAATATTTCCTGATTTATTTGCAACGTTGCAGTTCCATTCTCGATGTTTTGCATTGAAGTCTCCACAGATGTAGTAATTTCCTCTCAGATTTGTTATTTTGTTGATGTCATCTCTCAGATGTAGATCTATTTCCCCTCCTTTGCTTCCTCCTGGGAGATAGACTGAGAGAATGTGACAACTATCCGTGTCATTGATGAAGACTTTGATTCCAATGCATTCCATTAGTTTTGTGTTGTAGCTTGGTTGAAGCTGATGTTTTAGATTTCTTTTGACGATGATTGCAACACCACCCTTTGGTCTATCCACGCGATCCAATCGATGAATTACGTAGTCTGGATGCGAGTCAATTTTTGAGTTTGGTTTTAGGAATGTTTCTGAGATGCAAGCAACATCGACGTTTTGCTTGCTTAGGTAGTCGAGAAATGCTAACATTTTGTCAGTGAGGCCGTTAGCATTCCAGTAGAGGACGTTGATACTTTGTTGTCTACAATCCATTATTGTATGCGGTGTTTTTGGCACTTGAGCCGATTGCTTGGAGTATTTCGTCGATGAACTCTGGATTTTTGGCGATTAATTTGAGAAGCTCGCTGATAAGGTACTTGCACTTTGATTCCTCTATTTCTGAGATGTTTTTATCTCTTGTGCTGGTGCTTTGAGCTTGTTGATTAGTTGTTATGTTTCGATTCACTACCTCAACACTGAATGAAGGTTCTGGGAAGACTTCATTCGAGGTCTGACTTGTTGCACTGATGTCTTCTGAGTCCATAAGCTCAACAACTTGATTTGGTTTTTGATGTTGATTGTTATTAATGCGCTCGTTTTGCTTTTTTCTTTGATTCTTTTTCCAATGTTTTCCTCTTTCTTTATTGTTTTGTTGGTTGTTCAAGTTATTTTTATTTCCCTGATTTGAGGGTTTGTGATTTGGAGGAGGATTTGTGTTCCTTGGTTTGTGGTTGACTGGAACTTGTTTTTGATGAACAGGCTTTTGTGTACCAGATGTTGATGGTTCCATATACTCCTTTCTCCATTGAGGTTTTGGTGCATGTTGGACGTTTCTGGTTGATCTCTCAGGACGATGCGGTGTTGGAGGATTGTTTCTCCGTTGTCCATATGAATAATGGCCTGCTGTTTTGTTTTGATTTTGGTTGTTTCCATTCTGTGATTTTGATTTCCATTTTTCAATTATTTCTTGTCTGGTTTTACAGCCTGTGAAAATTGCTGTATGTTTTTCACCGCAGAAGAAACATTTGAGTTTTCCGAGTGGAACCTTGTTGGTCTCTTTCGATATGTACTGGCACGTTTTCGAGTCATGTTGCTCAGAGCATCTGAAGCAAACGGACGGTTTGTTACAACCGTTTTGTCCATGACCAAACTGCAGACATTTCGAACATTGAGATGGTCCAGCTTGTCTATTTTTGTAGTCAGCCCATTTAATTTTGAAACTGCTGACAATTTTGATTTT